CTATTTTTCGGGGTTTTCTGTTCATTCCTTTTCAACTTTTTTAAATACCAATCGATTTTATACTACAAGTTGTGCATTTTTCGTATGCAAACTGAACATTTTTCTGATACACGTTCAATATTTTTCAAATGCATGATAAACATTTTTTGAAATTATACATTTGAAGATTTTTTTTGAATAGATGTTACTTCTTTTTCAAATACACGTTGACATTTTTTAATGCATGTGAAACATTTTTAGATACCCCTTCAATTTTAAAAAAATATTACATGATGAACTTTTTTTCAAATACATGTTGTATATTTTGCGTATATGCACTAACAATTTTTTATACAAGCTGAACATTTTTCAATAAATGTTGAGCCCCCTTTAATTAAGATTCTTGGTGCATTATTCCGGTATCAAATTAAACTAATTATTAAATGCTACTTCTCTGGATCCATATTACTTGTCGCTCATACGAATGTATCTAAATATAGTTCAGTGCTAGATACATCTATTTGAGCTACAAGTAATATGGATAAGAGGAAGTAAAGTATATCCCCTCGTTTTCTGTGATATATAAAGCTAGAGCTTTTGGGTTAGGTGTATATTTAGCTCAAGTTTTTTTTTTCATCAATATAATCATTTGTATGTCTTGAGTCGAGCTCGGGCTTAGGATTTCATGGTCGGGATTTTATAGGCTGCGCCAAGGACTAGGCCTAGGATTTCAAGGTTGGGCTGCTCTCAAGTGCATATAATGAAAATACTTGAAATTTATCTACTCCCTCCGATCCAAATATGAATTGGAGGGAGTATTATTCTGTTGTGTTGATTCATTTCAGAATTGTTGGATCGCCGACTTGGAAAATAGTACTAGCTACTAGTGAGACACCCTTCTTTTTATTTGAAAGTTGTGAAAAGATAAAGATGATAGGAACAGGCCCGGGCCCATGGGTGTGCAACCCGTGCGGCCTAGTTTTGAGGGGCCCCAGATTTTGGAAACAGCCCATTTCCCAGTAAAAGGCCCAGCTCGCTAGCCATGCCCACTAGCCCGAAACAGGCTGATTTTGCGCTGATCCAATCAGAAATCGCTCGCTCCCAGGCAACCGCCGCCGCCGCTCCACCCTGCGGTACGCTGACAACGTACGAGTACCAGTGATTCAGTCTTGTTGATGTCCATAATTCATTGTAATTTAGTATTTCAGAATTTCGTTCTTCTTGCTATTCAAATTTCAGTGATGAGAGTATCTCCACTCACAATTTCAGTTTTTTGTTGTACAGAAATTCAGTGTTGATACTGTCCAATTTTCAGTGCATGGACTGCCCAAATTTCAGTGTGCTTGCCCTGCTACTTTGCTGCATTTATCAAGTGGGAACGGGTTGCTGCCTTTTATTTTTATTGAATGATACCTTTATCAAGTGTACCAGAGTTGGTTTTAACCCTCTGATCTCTTCTGTTTTCCAGGGCGCATAGCGAGCTGACCTTGTTGCTTCAACGATGAATATGCCGATAGGATAATCAATGGGAACAAAAGGTATCAAGTATTTATTATTTCTACTGAATCACTATATATTGTATATGGTTTGGAATTTAAATCTTTTTTTGCTCTCCTTTAGATTACTCTGCCCAATGTTTCTCTGTATCTCGTCCATTGAAAGATAGGCCCTCCCCGGATTTTGCAAACCTCCCTCCCTCCCTCCATGTTATGTTACCACCAAGATCTTCTGCTCGTTGCGTCCCTGCCATGGCAATGCTTGCCTCCGATCTCCATCAGTTTTCCCTATGCTAATACTGGTTCCATGCTGATGTTATCTCGCCTGATTGGCCGGAACCAGGCGCGATGATACCACACGGAGGGGCCACAAACACAAAGTAGAGCAGCGCCTTGAGACCTGGGGGGATCTAACATTCCAAGTCAAGGTCTTCTTGCTCGCCCGCCCTTTCTTTGCTTCCGACATTCCAAGTCAAGGTCTTGGAGGGTTGCATTTGAACGGGATTAATTACGCAGCGTACTCCTCTCCGCTCTGAATTTAGCTCATCTCTCGACAGGCTAAATAAGCTCATCCCTGATCAAAATAGTCCATCCTAGCTACATAGTTGCATAGCTTTGATTGGTTAGAATGAGCAGCTCAAGTGTTTATCAGTAGATGTTGCTCCATTTCTGTGCTAGCTAGTTGCATAAACAAAGAGCATTTCAGCGAGCGATCTGGACCAGGGTTCAGAACTGATGACAGTTAACGCGTCTTCCCAGCATCATTTGTTGTCCTACTAGCTACTGTTGCGTAAAGCTTTTCAAAAAAAAAATCTACTTCTTATTTTTTTTATGAGAAAAAAGGCCATAACCCCGACTTTATATTTAAAGCCATTATACTATAGTTAGCTAGGAGGACGACCTGCTTAATCCAAGTTGACAAAAAAATGTTAAATCGCTATCTCGGTCAACAGGTGAAGATGTTCTAAGATGTTCTACTTAACTATCTCGACACTTGATTGCTCTAACAAAAAGTAACATCATGTGGTGGGTATACTGTATTAATCCATGTTTGGTCGTTGACGTACCCAATAATGAGTGAGCTATTCGAATATTTACAGCACAAAGTTAGTAAAACATTACTGCATATAGGAGATGATTATTGACCCAACAATTCACCTTTTTGGAATGGGTTGATGAGAACGAAAGCAGCTTTCTTTCGTAGAGCTAAATTCATCATTGGAAACAACAATTCAACGAGATTCTGAGAAAATACATGATTAGCTAAGGTGCCTTTAGCCATAAAATATCCATCTCTATATAACATTGTACAGCAGAAGGAGGCTTACGTTGCTACAATATTACAATTCAACCCTTGAAATATTCAATTCTGGAGATCTTTGGTAGGAGGCCGATGGGACGCGTGGCTTCATCTCGTCAGAAGGTTGATGGATGTTCACCTTTCTGATGAGGCTGATAGTATTCACTAGAGACTAACTATGAATGGCATCTTCTCAGTTAAATCTATGTGTTTGGACCTAATTGATTTCGGTTCGATTCTGAAATCGATACATATTTGTAAGATCAATGTCCTGTTAAGAATCAAAGTCTTCATGTGGTTTGTTCACAAGGAGGTGGTTCTGACTAAGGATAACTTGGCAAAACGTAATTGGGAGGGTAGTCAACGGTGTAGGTTTTGTGATCAAGATGATATCATCAAACACCTCTTTCTCAATTGTCCGCTGGCCAAACTATTATGGCGTTTAGTTCATATAGCTTTTAGTATCACACCTCCAAATAGTACTCATACATTATTTGGGACGTGGCTAAATGGAGTAGAGACCAATATTGCGAGACATATTCGGATATGAGTATGTGCATTACTTTGTGCTATATGGAACTGTAGAAATGATATAAT